AATCAGTCATAACTGTGCAGTGTGATTTTCGTGGGCAGTGAAGCTCCAACAGCTCAGAGCATTCGTTATTGGTTCCACAACACGGGATGACCTCCGAAATCGCACTGAAAGAGCCGTGAGTACAGCGACACCCAACATGCTCAATCAAGTATGGGATGAATTTGACTGTGGCGTTGATGTTGTCTGTACAAATCATTCTGAAATCGGATGAATCTTTTTGAATCACCCTGTATATCACTGTGTGTGTGTGTGTGCAATACACACCAACCAAATACAAATACACACCTACCAGTATGTTTTATGCTGTCTAGCATGGTGCATTTGTTCTTTGTTCCGTTTGCAGCTTGCATTATTTATGCACTTCTGAATCTCTGCTGCATGTGCTGTGTAGAGGCACACAATATGATACTTACTGTTATTGTGATAAATTACACCACAATTTGCTAACTCGTGGATATTGTTGGCAGAGATGTTCACAAGTTGCTTCACGGGAGTCTCCAGGGTCGAGACAAAAGTAAACTCCTATTAAAAACCTGTCAGGTTCAACGCTGCTTCAAATAATGAGTCTTTCGACGCAGAAAAACATTTAGTTTGAAGGAAAAAACTAAAGCGCTACATGCAATATAGCAGAACTACCTTAACTATATGATAGCCAGCTGTTTTGTCTCTTTCTTTATACTGAGCATTAACTGCAACTAGTGCTTCGTTCTGTCCAACAGACCGAAGGTTTTTCTGTAATGAAATGCTTGTCCTTTGAAGCCGTATTGAACCTGATGCCGCTGCGAGCTGAGGGAGAACAGCACGTAACGAAGGTTGTTCTGTGATGAAGTGCTCATTATATGAAGCCATATCGAACCTGAAGCAGGCTTAACTGTGCATGGCTGCAACAAAACCAACAGTAAAAATCACACACGTTAGATTGGAGAGTAAAGCTTTGATTCGTTTACCGCGTTAATGTTTAATCTAATTTATTCAGCATTTTTAGTGCTTTTTTTATCCCCAGGCTGAAACTTCATGAGCCTGTAGCCTCAAGTCCAAGTCGAATCGATAGACAGTCAAGGACAAATCCTTAAAAAGAAAGTGTGAACTGAGCGTGACTCAGGTCTGAGTTGCTGACTCGTGTCCCCATCTATGATCATCAGTACTTAAAGAACACTGACCAACTGATCATCGGTACTTAAAGAACACTGACCAACTGATCATCGGTACTTAAAGAACACTGACCAACTGATCATCTGTACTTAAAGAACACTGACCAACTGATCATCAGTACTTAAAGAACACTGACCAACTGATCATCTGTGCTTAAAGAACACTGACCAACTGATCATCTGTGCTTAAAGAACACTGACCAACTGATCATCGGTACTTAAAGAACACTGACCAACTGATCATCAGTACTTAAAGAACACTGACCAACTGATCATCGGTACTTAAAGAACACTGACCAACTGATCATCAGTACTTAAAGAACACTGACCAACTGATCATCGGTACCTAAAGAACAATGGACAACTGATCATCTGTACTTAAAGAACACTGACCAACTGATCATCTGTACTTAAAGAACACTGACCAACTGATCATCTCTACTTAAAGAACACTGGACAACTGTATGTTTCATTACAAGGAGAACACCGTTAGTTAATGTTTAAGTATCTTACCGCAGCTAAGCATGAGAAATGCTGACTGAAAATAAAGGTGCTCATCGTCATTCTGGCACCACAAACACACTTTTTTTTTTTCTAAGCTGCTTAGCTTTTTGGGTCGCAGGTGATGGAGCCTAGCCCAGCGCTCACTGGACGAAAGGTAGGAAACACCCTGGACAGGTCATCAGTCCATCACAGGGCAGACATACAGCCACACAAACTTACACCGAGGGGCATTTTAGCATCTCCAATTGGTCTTTGGACTGTGGGAGGAAACCCACACAAACACAGGGAGAACATGCAAACTCCACACAGAAAGGACATCAAAAATGTAATATATGAGTTTACATCATGAAACAGTCTTCAAACACTGTCTTATGTAATATTTTTCCCAACCATAACTATTCGTCCCTTAGATATTGTGTGTTGTACGCAGCTTGTAAATACAAGCTGTGGAGTGTTACTTGTTCTATGGCACCAATAACACCAATATACTGCTGCTGTCGGAACAAAACCTTCAATCTCCAAAATGGTAACTTTACAGGAGAAGGAAAAAAAACTACTTTACTTTTAATGTAAGTCAATGGAACCAGAGTTTTCATCAAGTCATTTTGGGCCGTTTCTTTTGGTTAATTAATCATGAAATTTACAAACAATGTAAAGAACAACAGGCATTTTCAAATGATGTCAAAAACTGAAAAATGACAAAAATGGAGATACGAGGTTTTGTTCCGACAGCAGTGATACATTCCAGCACATGCATATTTCGACATGTTTCGCCCCCATACATTACTAAATCTACTGTCAAGAGGCCATTTGGGTTACTTGCAAAGAACAGGCAGTACGTGAGAAAGTGTTAGACAGGGAGGAGTGTGTGTGTGTGTGTGTGATGTGGGGAGAGAGAGACAGACAGAGAGTATGTGTGATAGTTTCCATTTCTAGCATCTCCTCGCTTCCTCTCACCACAACGGTCACTGTTTTACTGTAGCAGCACTTCTCTTTTCTCTCTTTCTCTCTCTCTGAGCAGAGGGATACCCGCTCTCTTCCTCCAAAACGATTTAAACACAGAGCGTCTTCACATATCGCAGCAGGCGCTCTCTTTCATCGGCTAGGGTGTCTGACGCCCACGACTTCACACCAAACCGACAGGAGAACGCCTGAATCTGAGGAGCTTCCCGAGTTCGGGATCAGAAGCAAAGAAACAGAAGCATATGGATCAAACACCTGAGAGCACAGGTGCTGATCCAGGACCCTTCATATCTCAGTCCTGCGAGTGGAGGTGGAACCGATCCTAGTTTAGTGCGTATTACTCTGATCTGTGTATGTGAACCCTGCTGGCTCTACACTCTCAAAAACGATGGTTCTTAAAGGGTTCTTCAGGAATGGGAATGGTAATATTTAGAACTATGAGTTCTATATAAAACCATTTCACGCTTAGATGATTCTTTGCATGGTGAAATGTTCTTCAGATTGATGGAGAATGTGTTCTACATAGAACCTTTCTGAAAATGGTTCTCCATAGCACCAGTTCTGCTATTGTCATGACATCAAGCTTGTAACAATGGCAGAACCCTATTAGGTGCTATATAGAAGCATATACACACCTAAAAAAGATGGTTCTTGAAGGGTTCTTTAGTAAAGAAAACGGTTCTGTGTAGAACCATGAATTCGCAAACAACCCTTTGCATGATTTAAGGGTTCTTTGCACCTTTTTTGAAAATCTATACAGCACCAAAAAGGGTTCTTCTATTATAACAGCCTTGACATTGTAATCCCTCTCGGTACTATTTAGAACCCTTTTCAAAAAGGTTCTATATAGAACCATATATACAACACATTCTCCATCAGTCTAAAGAATACTTTGATGATGCAAAGAACCCTTTAATCATTCAAAGGGTTCTTTGAGTGTTCATGGTTCAATACAGAACCATTTTCTTAACTAAAGAACCAGCTTTTTTGAGAGTGTACAACACATTTTCCATCAATCTGAAGAACGATGTTACCGTGCAAAGAACAATTTAAAGATGAAATGGTTCTATACAGCACTCCTGAATCTAATTAGAACTATTTACTTTTACTATAGAACCCTTGAAGAACCATTTCACCATGCAAAGTGTCATTTAAGGGTGAAACGGTTCTATATAGAAATCATGATTCTAATTAGAACTATTCACTTTTACTAAAGAACACAAAGAACCATCTCTTTTAGAGTTTCTGAAGAACCATTTCACCATGCAAAGAGTCATTTAAGGATGAAATGATTTTATATAGGACTCTTGATCCAATGAGAACTATTCACTTGTACTAAAGAACCCTTGAAGAACCATCTCTTGAGTGTACAGCACATTCTCCATAAATCTAAAGAACCATTTCACCGTGCAAAGAGTCATTTAAGGAGGAAACAGCTCTATATAGGACTCATGATTCTAAACAGAACCATTCCTTTAACTGAAGAACCTGTAAATAACCATCTTTTTCAAGACAGTATCAGTGAACTGAACACTAGATACTTTCTATTGAGGGAAAAAGAAAGAGAGGAGAAAAGCGAGACAGAGAACACCTCTTTAAACACACACACACACTGAAATGTCTCATTTAGTGAAATAAAAGCCATTCATAAGGGGTTTTAGAGCAAACAGTGAATGTCAATAGTGACTGAGACTCGTTCACAGGTTACCAACATAGTGCTAACACCTCACTGAGCTTGTGTTATTCACAGGCAGGTGCACTGTCTTCTCCCTGCTCACACATTTCAGAGCATTCCTCTGCGCACAAAGCCGGCGGATGCAGCTGTTTGTGTTATTATTCCGTATTTCTGTACTTATTTGGTTGGAACAGATGAACGGAGCAGCTGAGCTACCTGACAGACTTTTCTCTGTCAGCTTCAAAAATCACTGAGACTACCACGAGGCTGAAGTCGGCTTCCTATTCGCCAGCTCCTTATTCGAATTTCCCCGTTCCACCTTAAACGGTGCAGCAGTTCCATTCCGACGCCGTCGGACCTGCTGCACCATTTAAGGTGGAACGGCAAAAATTCGAAAAACCGTTAGAACCGTTAACTTACTGTAAGCTAAAGTTTAAAGATGTCTGTTAGTTTGTCTTATGAGAAACGCCAAAACGACCCCAAAGTGAGGGTCATAGTCTCAAACCGACAGCAAACACACTACCAAAAAACCCGCTACACCTCCATATTCCTACAAGTGAGACCAAAAATACGTGAAGTTTCCAAACTCAAAATACGAAAACGTCCTGCTAACGTTGGGCGAGCGTTACACCGGCACTTCAGCTGGATCTCTCTAATCGTTCTCCAGGTCATTTTTGGTTTATCTAATAAGTGTCAGCACTGCTTACCTTGGCGAACTAGACGTGAAGGAGCTCAGGGCAAATTTGGGGACACAGACGAACTCCTGACCAGAAACATGAGGGAAGACAGAAAGACAGAAAGGGAACTCTCTCAGTCCAGAGGCGTCCGGCAGATCCACCAAAGCGCGCGCCACAGAAATGCCACTAATTGCCAGACCGGTGGAATCTTCTTTTTCCGCCCGTATTCTGACAAGTCCTGCCCTGCTGCGCTGGGATTGGCCAGTAGTATCTGCCATCTTGCGCTGTGATTGGCTAGCGGTTCGTACTCACAAGCAGTCCGTCGTTCAAGAACATTTATGTATTGTTTTTTTTTATTTTTATTTGTATTGTATTTTTATATTTTTTTAATATTTATTTTTATTTGTAAATTAAATGAACATTATATATATATATATATATATGTGTGTGTGTGTGCGTGTGTAATATAAAAAAGATAATATATATACGTATACATCATATATATGAAAGTACAAAAATAATACATGTATATATGTATTATATATTTGTACATATGTATATTTTATAAATGTATTATGCATATGGAATGTATCACACATTTTTATCAATATTATTTTTATTATGTATGTATATATGATTGTTCCAAAAAGGCAAATCTTAAACAAAAAGTCATTCTAAAAAATATATGTATGTTGTCCTCAATATATGTTCCTGCATATGAAATATGAATGTTATTAGTGTTTTATTTTTCTCTTTTTTGTTGTGTATATTTATAATTAACATATACACATATGTATTACGTATTTATAAATGATCGTTACATTGCTTTAACAACGCTTTAGAGTCAGATAAAAAAAATTATTTTGAAAAACTACTAGCCAATCCTAGCGCAGGTGGGCGGGGCTTAACCGTTTTATAACAGCGCAATGATTGCGAGAATGAACTACTTGCGAGGGGGCGGAGTACTGCCAGCCAGTCCTGTCACAGGTGGGTGGGATATGTCGGAATACGGGTGGGAAAAAATACCAACGCCGGCCGGTGCGCATGAAGAAGCCTTCTGCCAGCGCGTGTAGTCTGATTGGCTAAGGCTTTGGTAAGGCAGAGTAGGCGGTCAATCACTTGAAAGACCGGTGGGGGAAAAAGAGAGTCGATGGATTTTAGTATTCGGCTGTTAAAGCGCCATTTAACTGCTAACACTGAGAAAAAATGTAAATAATTAATAATAATTAAAGGGAGATCTGCCATGTTCCTCTCCCTCAGGATGGCGAAGAAATGTTCTGCCACTGACAAGCGTATTACTCTTAATAATATAGAATATACGCTTGTTAATAATCATAAGCTATAAGCTTTAAAGGGGAAATCCACCCATTTTTCAAAAAAATCTGCATAATTTACCCAGTGAGGTGTAAAAGTCATTCAGAGTGGATTAATGTGAAATGGTTCACTGTAGAGAAGCTTACAGGCTCAGATTTCTTTACAGTGGTGGTGATAGGAACCAAAATGGCCAGTGAACCAATAGTCACTAATGGTATTTCGTGTTTTCCTGATGGGCTGATATCACAGTGTAAAGGACTCTAAGGGTCTGGGACTGATTCCAGATGCATCTGATGGTTTCCTAATGGGATCTAAAGGAGTTCTATGGAAGACTAGTGGTCTCTCACAGTAACCATACGTCCAATTCCCATTAGAAAGCAAAATCCTTTAATCCTAATGATTCTAATGGACTTTTTTCAGCATATCTAACGTTAAAGGCCACCGCACACCAGGTGCACTGTGTAGCATCCTACAGTGTCACGTAGCAGCTCTAAGCACAGCCATTCCACATACAGTGCAGATAACCATCAAGATCAAGTTCAATTTTACACTGTGCATGTATAAATTTAAAGGTGCACTGTGTAAGATTTAGTTGTTGCAGACTGCAACAAGCTGAATACAAGCTCCCTCGCCCTTCAAGGGTATCTCTTGGCAACTTAAATATGAAGGAATCCAGAACAAGACTAAAAAGCTATAGTAGACAGCCACAGTAAAGCTTTGTAGATAAACAGACAAACAAAGTAATGGTATTTAAAGTCTTTCAGCTGGAAAACAGCGAATTGTGAAGAGATTGTTCACCTCCAACCAAATGAGATAAATTTATAAATAAAGCTGAAAGCTTCATTCCATTAAAGGTGCAGTGTGTAAAATGTAAGGGGATCTATTAGCAGAAATTAAGTATAATATACTAAACCATGTTTTCATTAGTGTATAATCACCTGTAACTACCAATCATTGTGTTTTTGTTAGCTTAGAATGAGCCCTTTATATCTACATAATAACAGAGGCCACCATGTTGCGCCGCCATGTTGCTACAGAAGCCCAGAATGGACAAACCAAACACTGGCTCTAGATAGTGCCTTTCGTGTTTTTACCCTGAAACAGCAGCTTCAATTTGGTGGCGCTATAGCACCAGTTGGAAGACGTAGAAAGAAAACTCTAACTATTTTGTGTTGAGAAAGTTTGAGAACTCAAATTTTAACAAACAGAGATTCATACTTTTTATTTAGCACGAGGAACAAACAAAAAGAGGGTGAATCCTCCTCATCGAAGGAGCGAAAACATGACTGCCACCATAGGTTCTATTACACGCTTGGAAAGAGAGGGGTGAGGAAGGGGTATTCTGTTGGTTGCAATCTGCAATCTCACCACTAGTTACACACTGCACCTTTAAATTTATACATGTGCAAGGTAAAAATGAACTAGAACTTGATCTTCACTCTCCCATTGCGATGCACTGTATGTGGTATAGCTGGACTTTGTACTGTATCTGCTGTACAACACTACATGCTGTGGTGTGCAGTGGCCTTTACCGTCAGATGTGTGAAAACATTTGTGGAAATATCTTCATGGTAAGGTTTTACTATACAGAAGTAACATAATTATGTGACCAAACCTCTCAGAAAACAAAGTTAGAGAAATTGGAGAAGTTAACAAAGAGTGCTAGCACATTCAGAGTAAGCAGAGTTGGATTAGCCTACTAAATTTCTTAAGGAAAATGAGCTAGCCTTTAGCCTAGGCTTTTGAAACCACCTTTAAATTCATTTGTGTTGTGAGTAAATAAAGAGGGGCGTCAATCTGAATTACTCTGAATTGTAAAAATTAAAGTAAATGCTAATCTGTACAACGTTCTCCTCCAAACGTGTTGAACTGTGTAATGACTTTGAATGCGAGTTTGAAAAAAACTGAGTTTGAAAGCAGAAAAAAGAAGCAGTGGTCCTTCAGCATATGCTGGTCTTCATCCTCCCAGAGTTTTGTAGGAATAAGGGAAACCCAGCTAGCAGGTGGAGCTGGACATGACTACACTGAGGAGAAAACTGGAGAAAAATGCACACATGGGCATTTCCCGCTTCCGTGTTGTGTCCTCCACCTATACTATATGCCTATATACCTATATGGTGGGACGTGCACACTTGCCTACTGATTTTCAATAGTGTTAAAAAAAAAAAAAGCAACTCAAAACATCTCAAAACTTTAACTATTCATTGGATTTCAGTGCCTTTTCTGCTCAGGTTCAGCTACAATGAGGCTCTTGTTCACATGAAGGTTTCTGTGTCCGTGTATTAGCCATATCTTACACACTCAGGGCCTGAAAACCCTTTTATGCAGCTCCTTCTGTTTACTGAAAAACACACAGAGAAGCTAGTTTCTGTGTTCCTTATACTCTTTTTTTTCCACCCCAAATCAATTTCTTTCAGTGATCCTTCACGTCTGCAGCCACATGATGGAAAAACAAACTGTGCTGAAGAGCTGGAACACCTTAAGAAGCGCTGCACTGTGTGGAAAGTTCTAATAACACAGGATTAAACAGGCATGCTCTTCATCCAGCTACTTCAAGAGAACAATTTATTACCCGCGTGTCGTTTGACTGCCGGCTTCAAAAGGAAACAGGCGACTATAGTCATACGCTTATCTCATTAGTGCTTCCAAATTACAAGTAAAGCTCATGCAAACGTGCTAGGCTTAATTTTCATTTAGAGAGAAGATACACAGAGGAGGACACTGGAAGAAAGAGCGTTATGCTAACTGTAAGAAGAGTGCAGGATTTAGCAGGATTTAGGCTAATTTGCTCAGTAGGGCCTGGGTTTCCTATCCAGCCTTAAGAAACCTGTCTGCTCTTGGTGAACACACCTGAGTCAGAAACTCACAGTTATAATTGGTTTTATTAGTTAAGTACTAAGAATTTGCCTTTTGCCAACATTTTAGCTCACTGGCAGACTCAGGGGGGCAAAGGGGGCAACCTAAGCCTGTCCAAGTAAGAAAATACAATGAAGTGCCCCACAGTCCACCCTACAACGTACCCTCTAGGGCATGCTTTTCCAAAGTGGGTGTCTAGGGGTGCCGCCACATACTTTGATAAGATTTTGAATTTGCCGGTGCGTTCCAGTCGGGAGGCAGCTGTCTAAGAAGGCAGCATTTTAAGGCAGCATTTGTGTGCTTCCAAGATGAAGGCTGTCCCATTTGGAAGGCAGCATAAGGCAGCCACCTGCCACGTAGTGTGTTCCATTCTGAAGGCAGCTGCCTAACTAGTCACTGCCTTCAAATGCAGCTCTCTTGTTGGGCAACATTTTAACTGAAAAGGAACCTTAGTAGGCACTGCATTCGGGACAGTGCTTCAGAGCCATCATACGTCATCATACAACTTTCACTGCACTGTACACATTTTATCTGTTTACTCGCAGTCACTGGTTAGTTTACACTCACCTCCAACTGTAAAGGTGCATCACCTCAGTGTAAAAGGACAGCTTTGAATCTGCAGAAGCTGTTTTCCTGCACTGACCCTGTTGTGGAAATTTGTGTATGAAGAACAGGCTGCTGTGAGGAGTCGTATCTGTTGTTATATACTCAACTCGGCAGCCCAGATAAATACAGATAATCGTGACTATTAGTTTATGAATTATTTCAATTCATTTACAGTCCTCATCCACATTAAATGAATCTGCTTTATTTCTAACATACAAAGGATAAACACTATGTATTATTTTGTACAAAATGCACTCAGAAAAAAAGGATCGCACACTGTTAAGCTGCTAATATACATATTATTTGATGCATTCTCATCTGATTTATGAGCTCCTAGTCTGAAATTTAGCCGTCAACCTTCACCTAACAGTGCTGTGACTGTGGTAAGCACAGCAATACAAGACAAGCAGAGCAGGCAA